TCTTCAGCTCTGATACCAATTCAAAGTTATGATTGCTAGAACTTAGAATATAAAGAACAACACTTCTTTATTAGATTTAGAAACTCTCACAAAACTAAATCTCTTCTCTCTAAGTCTCATGAAACATCCTTCCATGGACCCTTGTATTATATAGAACTTGGACATCTCCCAAGTCTATTAGGATTAGGTAAAACACAAACTCTATCTAGATACTTTATCATTATCTAAAACATATTTGTGAATATCCTTACTTATCTCTAGAAGCTTCTTCTTCTAAGAGATAACTTCTTCTTTAAGTCTTGAATTATCCAACACAAAAACAATGCTTCATTCCCAATACAATTGTTTTTTCTCCACTTTAATGAATTTGGATTTATCTTGTAGACTTGTAGGTCTTTTATTCCGCTTGCTATCATCAAAACCTCTCCAGACATCGTTACACCACAAAAGCATTAGCTTGTGATATTCTTCAGGAACAACTTAAGCCATTACCATTTTCGTTTAGTTTTTTTTTTTTTTTTAAATCCTCTGTTCCAAAACAGAGACTTGTTTGTCTAGGGTCTTTTATGGTTATATTTGTCTAAGGTCTTCTCGGTTGAATGATGTCGTTTTCTTTTAAATTTTGTCGAACTAAAAGTCTAAAATATGACTTATCGATAAACTGATCCATGTCTAATTATGCAACACAATTCTGTAACAATATCAAAGGACATGCATGAAGCTAAACCTAATAATGCAAAACACTAATTAGGATCAGTCAAGATCTATCACGAACGCAATTGTGTCACTTGGTTATGAAACCATTTAAAACTTTGAATTTGGAATCCACAATCAGAAAGAAACACAATTTGCGAAAAAAAAATGTGAGAGAAATATATGAGAATAGTTGTTATACCCTAAACATAAAACGTAGCAAAATGTAAGAGAAATAATCCTTACCAAAAACACAAAACTAGATAGCTTTAGAGCAACGATTTGCCACAAAAAGTTGGGAAAAACCAACGAGAATCCTTGAAAGGCACTGGCGATAAATCTGCAAGGTGTTGAAACCGTTGGACAACCAACCTCTTAAGAAAATCGTAAACGTAATTACTGTTTTCATTGCATAAACAACTCCCATTGTATCTACTAGGCTTACGATTACTAAAATATAAGCTGTTTTCCCCAAAACCATCTTTGGCTGCGACCGTTGTTCCTAGATCCAAAAGCAATGCTTCGTTCCCTAAAGAATATATTTCTCTCCATTTTGATGATTTTGGATCCATCTTGTAAATATCAAAGGAAGGTATCGCAAATGCGCGGGGTTTGATCATCAAAACCTCTCCGGACAAAGTTATAACAAGATGGCCGAAACCATATAGTGGAAATAATGTGAGACCATCCGGAGTTGTGAAACTTGCACATTCATTTGGAGAACCACCACAAGAGAAATCAAAAATAGTAATGTTTAGACTTGGACTAAGCACGTAAAGCTTGCTTTCTCTAAACACCATATCGGAGCAGCCTTGATTCTTCTTTAATTGAAACACTTTCCAGCTCTTGTTATTATCTCCTTTCTTATGATATGCAAAGAAGCACTCAAGGCTCCACACAACTAAGTAATCTCGGCTTCTTTCATCGACCCACAAAACCGCATTCTCTATTATAACTTTGGTGCTTTCACCAGAAGAATAACTTCCATAGCCTCCTTGATAAGTGAATGTCTTCAAGAAATCAGACTCACCAACCCTCTCAAACTTCATCTGCCGTCCATCCATTGCTTCCAAATTCGGAAGACGAATCCTCTCTC